GGAACTAACTCCATGATGATAAAGATTTCAATCAAAATATACAAGAATATTTGAGCAAGTTGTGCAAAGCCATCTGAGGAACAGGTTAACAGAAAAGAGTAACAGATCACCTTTTAAATTTCAATTAATTGTTAATGTTCCAGTAATATTCTGGGTGCTTAATTTTACTTGATTTTGCATTCTTTTTCAAACTTATTTAGAAGTAATAATCTCTCACCATCTTCGGTTGGTTTCAAAGGGCCGTTTAGTATACATTAAAGATCATGGTATCCTTATTCTTTCCTTGGTTTTCCACTTGTAAAATCTATACTTCATTGCCATGAACTAAACTATACCAGAAAAGCTATAGAGTTGAAAATGTATGTGATAATCTCCTAAAAAAATCTTAGGAGTCAATCAAGTCAACGTCATCATTGATTAAAATAAATGCTTAAACAATTGGCAAAGTCCTTTGAAAAGGTCCAAGAACGATGTATTTAAGAACCTTAACTACAATTACATCTGGGGCAGTTGGGGCAGTTAGGGCAGTTAATTCACGTTTACCCACCCTGAAATCTGAAGAAAACTGGCCAATTAACTCTTTTTTTCCCCTTCTCCATGTTCTAGTTGTTAGTCTAATGGTCTAAGAAACCGATTCTAGAATCTTTTTAACAAAAGTATTCAAAGTTCAAATACTATTGCAACAACAATAAATTAAATTTTATATATCATAACTCTTAAATTAATTGTATACAATTTTTTTAAAAAATCATATTAAATCGAATTTTTGAATTTTTTATATTACTTATTTAAAAAATTTTTTGATTTACTTCTTTAATTTTTATATTATTTTTTATTACTTATATCAATATTTTTTATAATCTATTTTTAAAAATTTTGATATCTCTCAAATTCAAAAATTCATTTTTTTTAACTGTGCACAAATAAGGTTGAAAGTTTGAAAGGAAAAAAATTCTGGACAAATTGCCATTAGCATTATTCGGTTGCATCCCAAGTTTGCAACTCGAAGCTTTAATCCCTGTTGTTTTAAGACGGTTTTTTGGCGTAGTTAATTGGCAGAATATGCTTTAAGTTTTGACCAAAAATGTATATATTTGTAATTGACCCTGCAGGAATGGCACGATGTATTTTCTACATATATATCAACTTCAATTTCAAGGGAAAACAACCACAAGCAAATAGCCTACCCAAACCCCAATCAAAATATATCAACTAGACTTCTTCGGTTAGTACCAACTTGTATAATCTAATCCTACCCCAAAGATCAAATCTGAGCATCAGATCATCTTATTACAAAAAGGGAAGATCTAATCATCTCTCTATGACCATTGACGACATTCATGAGTTGGAGGCATGAAAGCAATTTGACAGTTTACATCAGAAGAGGATCGGAAAACAACAATCACTCAATGATGTATCATCAGTTAATCTGGCACAATGTCGTTTGACAGTGGAACTCTAACGCATTGGCTCAGTCGATTAGAAAAGCCTAAACCTGAAATCCTAATTCAAACAAACTTTTTGGAAGAAATTACCAAATATCATACTATAGCTTCTCTTTAACCATTTTCAATCACAAACCAACACAAAATTTTATCCAAGGAGTATTGTATTTCCAAAAGATTCGAACGTCTTCTTTCTACGCAAGCATCCTATAAGCTGAGCTTGGGTTTGGGTTTGGGTTTTGGTTTTGGTTTAAGCACCGGTTTTCTCCAAAACTCGATACTGGAGTACGCAATTCTTCCCAACTTTGAAACTTCCAGTTAGAAGTTGGTTTGTGGGTAGAGAATTATGAAAAAGAAAAAGAAATGATTTTGTGTAAATTAGGGGTGAGGAAAAGCAGAGTGATAAATAAATCAAGTTTAAATGCATGTATAATGAATAAAGTAAGAGAGCTTTTATTTGCACTTCAATATTTGTTCTTTATTTACAATTTTTTTTATTATAGAAAATCCTTTTATATAAAATTATTTAATTCATTTTTATTAAATTATTCTTTAACCGTTTTATATTTAAAATTTTAAAGTTTGCACATTTACAAATTCATAAGTTTATAAAAGTTAACAAAATTTTTAAATTCGTAAACTCATTATGAAACATTTTCGTTATTCAAGATATTAAGTAAAAATATCTTAAAATTTAACAAAAATCAAACGTAACTTACCTCTAAAATGAAATTTAGTAGCTTGATTTATTCTATAATTTGTGATTTTAGGATTTGGATTAAAGTTTTTAGGATAAATTTTGGTATAGATTTTGAAGAAACAATGAATCCGAAAAAAGGAAGGAAATAAAATAAATGAATGTGAAGGGTTTTAAAAGGAAAAAAAAATTATTATAGGATGTAATGAACAAAAATTTATGTTTCGAGTTTGAATTTGAGGTGTTAATAGAAAATGGATTTAGAGAGTAATTGATGGAGTGTAAGTGGAAGCTCCATAAGGTAATATATCTCTCTGCCCCTATTATAATGAATACTTCGATCTAAGTACTTAAATTCATGTAGGGATATTTAAAATTTGGTTTTAAATGAATTAATGATCAAATTAATTTAATTCAATCTATTAATCAAAATACCATCAAATTAATTTTGGTGTTTTCAAAAATAATTTTAAAGAAATTTCAGTTATCAAATAATTAAATTTGAAAATCGAATTAATCTAAATTTTAATTGAAATATAATAAAACTTAAATAAAAACTAAAAAAATGAAATCCACTATTTAATTTTATAAGTTGTTAGAATTTTTAATTTAATATTTTAGTATTTGAATATTTTATTGAATAATTTTATTTAATTTATTTCAATATGAAAATTAAGAGAGTTTAAAGTATAATTTAATTTAAACATATTTTATTGTTTAATTAATAAAAAAATTTACTATATCAATACAATTCAATTCAATTAATTAAAATTTAAAATTAATAAATTTAATTCAATTAAAAAAATTAATTAATTTAATTTTAAATAATTTAATTCGAAATTAATCCTACCAAAATTTCATGCTCACTGCAACCACTTTTTTACGGTCTTAGCGAAAAGTTTAGAAATTAAATGTTGTCCTAACTTCGAAAAAATAAATTAATTAATTAATGGGGTCCTGTGGGGTCAACCTAGCGACACGATTAATTAGTGGGGCTATAAGCAGCGTATTAAGCAGCCAGCGAAGAGTCTTACCCTTTCCAAGAAAGGTTGACCAATGAACAGAGCATGCCGATAAATGGCCAAACCAATGGCAGCTGTTCCTACAGAGGAGATAGAGAGTTCCCAAGACGACAAAAGAAGATTTCTTTCTTTGAATAGCTTAGACCATGCATTAACAAAAAGAAAGAGAGAGAGATACATACCAGGCGTACAGCGCCAAGCATGAGGCCTATTCAGAGAAAAGCACTTGAAATGGTAGGTACTATAATCAAACCCACACTTGCCACCACTTGCCTCGCAAATGCTACAGTTACTCGCTATCCAATTCAACACAAACCCTCTATTCAGTATATCTTCAACCCCTCTCTCTCCTTCGTAAAAAGCCACCGGTGCCGCTACTGTTTTATTACAATACTCTGAGGCAAAATTCAGCATAGAATCGTTATTGAACAGTGCCAACTTGTATTCGTTTCATTGTCTGCATCACAATTAACCATGTACTGTGACAGATTCCAACTCAATTGCGAGGTTAAGTTGCAATTGAAGAGTAAGAGTATTTCTCTTTGGACTAGGGGGAGATAAAAGCCGGTCTTGAGGAATGGATATGTTCCGCATGGAATGGCTGCAAACCGCATTTCTATCAAAACCAACAGCTTTTGATACGTTAAAAGATTGGCTCTGATAAAAGATATCATGGATGATATAGTCGCCATCAGGCATGCTCAAGATCGGGTTTGTGCTGTTTCTGCAGGAGATGTTGAATCCAGGATAACCGCATGTAGATTCCTGCTGCTCCTGGATGAAGAATGGAAACTTTATGTTTAGCCTACCACAATTTCTTGGCTCGCTGCAGATTGTGAAGTTGGCATACACGGCTAAAGCTTTCCTTGTCAGTAAAAAAAACTAATGAGGTTTAGCACTGGAAAGAAAGCTGATGTAAGTTTAAACAAATGGATTTGATTCATTTGGGGATCTTGATGTTTTTGGCAGAGTGAGATGGTGGGGAAGAAGATGGTAGATTACTGTGAGAAACGGCAGTCGTCCAAATTATCTTTCTCACATCTTTAGGCTGTTGAATTAAGGATAATTGGCCAATTGGGGCCACTTTAAGAAAGTCGCACAAGTTGACTAACATAAAATTTCAATCCTTCTGCCAGCTATCTTTGCGCTTTGCGGTGCATGTATGAGGCTCTTCTGATTGATCCATTTTTTAACTAGTTGAAGATTGGCTCTGGTAAAAGATACCTTGGGTGATACGAATTTTCATAATCTTTTCATTTTTTTTAATCCTAAAATATCTAAAAACTTGTGAACCCAACAAGCCAATAAGGGTCCAGCTACTTGGGGCTGAGCCTACAACCTCTTATTTTCTGAATCGCGATTCTAAAACAAAAAAAGAGTCCAACCATTTCCTGTCTATACGCTGCTTCTAAGAAATAGACACTAATCTAAAAGAAAAAATTTACATCAAGTTTTTTAAATAAAATTTATAACATTTTAAAAAAATAATTTAATAAAAATTTTAAATTGATAAATTAATAAAATTTAATATAAAAATTAATAATATATAAAATAATTATTAAAAATATTATTTATAATTTAAATTTAATCTATATTTATTTAATAATAAAAAAATTTATCAATATTTTTATTAAAAATATATATATAAAAATATATATAAAAATTTTTAAAAAAATTTTAAAATTTACACACTTAATTTATATAATAAAAATTTTCAATTTTAATTTTAATTTTTAATTTAATTATTTTTAATTAAAAACTTTACAAATTTCATTTAAAAATTTTTACCTAAATCTTTTCCGATCTAAACTTACTTCCACCGGCTTGATTTGTAATTCCATTATTTCTTTCTCTGAAAGGAAACAAAAGGCAAGGAGCGTTAAACTTAAAAAAGAAAAAAGGGTTTGGCCCTCTTCTTTTCCTTTTTATTATCCTCAAAAGCAGAGATATAAACAAAAATCCCAAAACAAGACGAAGAAAAACTAAAAAAAGCTGATAACAATGGCTATGTCTGTCCCCATTTTAGCCATCGTCACTTCCCTCCATCTTATTGCCTTCGTGTTCGCCGTCGGCGCCGAACGGCGCCGTAGCTTCGTATTCTCACTCTCTCACTTTAAACTGTAGATTTTTTTCTAAAAAAAAAAAACTTCTCCTTTGTTTTAACTTAACTCTTTGCTTTTGTTTATGGGTTTTGTTTTGTGAAGGCAAAGGTGGTGCCTGATCAGTACGATGAGAAAACCTACTGCGTCTATAGTACGGACGCCTCTACAGTGTACGGACTATGTGCCTTTGGTCTGCTTTTGCTAAGCCAGACCATCGTTAACGGCGTCACTCGATGTCTCTGCTTTGGAAAAGGCCTTCTTACCGGCGGTTCATCCACCACTTGCGCCATCTTTTTCTTCGTTTTCTCCTGGTAATTTCTACCAAATCCCCCTTATTTCCCTCTCCACTACTTCGATTTAATAGCACTGCTTAGCTTGTCATTTTGCTTTGCCTGAGTTCATTTCAAGATCTGTCTGCTATTCTTCTAAGTACTTTTAATTACATTCCACCGACAAGTTTCAGGGTTGAAATTTGTTCTTAGTTAGAAACTGATTATGTGCTTGGTGGATACGATGTTCTATTTTGTGAAATGAAAATGGCTAGTTTTGTCTGGATGCAACTTCCCAAACCCCCCCCCCCCCCCCTTACTGATTTTTCCTCAGTGATGTAGTCAATTATGCACATGCATGGAGCCCACACTTTTACCTAATGCTTAATTTCGAGGCTAACAGGTTGTACACAAATAATAGAATAATAATACTTTCAAAGTGTAAAAATTTTACTATTATATTTAATTAATGATTCTTCTTTGTTGTTGATCTAGTAGAGAAACTTTTTGTTTGTTGGCTTTGGTTTGCGATTTCAATCTTAACTAGTTATTTAAATTTTTTGTTTGGAAGAAATCTAACAAAGGAGGTCACAACTTAGAGATAGGGTATAGGTCTCAAATGGGCTGGGCAGCCCATGACACAGCAGGATTCGGCACGGTATGAATCATGCTTGGCACTGCCTATTGCTATAATCATGGGCCGTGTCAAAGCGCGACTCATATATTTGTGCTGTTTTGGGCTATAGATTTTGGATCCATTGAGTTGGCATGGCACGATCCATCAAGGGTTAGTGCCAACACGTGGCACATGAGCTGGCAAGGCACAACACACAAGGCCTAAAATGCTGTGTTGTGTCAGTCCATAGATATTATAAATGACTTTAATATGTTGATTTTTAGTTATATTTTATGTTACTTTTATCATATAATGAATGTTCTTTTATCTTTTTGATACTTTAGGTTAACAGTTTATAAAAATTAAATTGTGTAATAAATTTAATTATAAAATATTTAAATTAGTAGTAGATAAAATCATAATTTTTTTCTTTTTGATTTATCATTTTTTAAAAAAAAATTATGAAATGTATATTACTTAAAGATTGATTATAAAAAAACCAAGAATAAGACAAAACACATGATATAAACGAATCATTATATAGTGAAAATAAGAAATAAAATAATAATGTGATATGCATGTTTTTTTTTTAAAAAACTCATATATGTAATATTAGCATTTGTTAATTTTCATATATTATTTTGGTTGATTCTTTTAATTTTTACTGGTAAACATATATATTTTGTTTAACCATATGAATTATGTGCCTTGTGAATTAATTTTATGCATTAATTTTTAAGGATAGTTGAAAAAAAAAATCCACAAAAAAGATAAAAATTTAAGAAATTATCAATGGCCAATACTCGGTCCAATACGGCATGAAGAATAGTGTTGTGCTGGGCATGGCATGACCCATAAGGGTTGTGGGCCATGTGCCTGGTTGGGCCATAACTCTCAGTTTTGGTGGATTGTACCCACACAGCACGTTAAATAATAGTACTTGGCCGGCATGACCCATTTACACATGGACTAATAGTTTAATGAGCTGTGCCAATTTGACACCTCTAAGATAGGAGAAGAAATTGCAGGTGTCGAGATTTGAATTTTAGATTTGCTTAATCCATCTTTTAAGAGTAATCACATGAACTAATTGGACTAAATTACAAGTTCGAAATCTAACAAATTTGACAAAAGGGCAAGTCTTGCAATTAAAGTAGGGGACAGTAGGAGTTGCTGGTTTTGGTTTCCTGTAGTTTAGGAATAAGTAAAATGATCCAATTCGATTAGTATTTGATAAGATTGGGACATGCAGCAGAATATGCCTCCGTTTTTGGTAGATCAATGATGTATGATTACTTTGGTATGCTAAGGAACTTATGCTGGGAAAAATTAAAGATTGCCTTTCTATAGTAGTTTGTTTCATGTAAACCAAAAGCCAAAATGTTTCTGAACTCTGATATTGTTATAACAAAATTATTCCTTTAAGTAGACTAGGAAATTAAGCTCTCATCCTCAAAATTTTGGGAGGGAGTACAAAAACAAGGAGCATCTCTTTCATTCACTAAAATTATACTATTTGTTTTTGTTGTTGCTGTGACAAAATTTGAACAATGAATTAGGATAAGCCTTTTGGGAGCTGAGGCATGTTTACTGGCGGGATCAGCACGGAATGCATACCACACCAAATACAGAGGAATCTTTGGCGGAGATGACTTATCATGTGCTACCCTCAGGAAAGGTGTCTTTGCTGCTGCAGCTGCTCTTACTTTGTTATCATTACTGGGATCAATCTTCTATTACTGGGCTCACTCTAGAGCTGATACTGGTGGATGGGAGAAACATCAGAATGAGGGCCTTGGAATGACCAGTTCTAGTTATGCACAGCAGCCACCTGAATTTGGGAAGGTCTAACTCTCATTGTGCTTTAGGTTGTTTGATTTCCACATTTTTGGTGTTTTATGTTAAGAATTAATGGACTGAATGAGCTGTGCATGAATATATATTATGTAGTTTCAAAGACAAATTATATAGGGTATTATGGTTAGTAATTGTCAATATTTACCAGTTTACTTGGTCTCGGTTTCGTTGATGATCGATCCCATCCAGTATTCCCCATTGCCCCTTCTAAATGTTTCATGTTAGTTACAACCGAAAATCATATTTAATGCAATGCTTTATATCTTAATTATCTTTAATTAATTGTTTCCCAACTCAAGAGACGGCATAGAATGGTAGTAGGCGCAGTAGCAACAACAATTGGTGAAACGTTTAGTTATCAAGGTGCTAAACTTTGAATGAACCGAGAAAAATTGTCCAGGTAATATAAAATCACGTTATCGAAATTCCCCTTCATTGTGCACCCAACGCGTTTTACCTCGGTTGCTTGCCCTCTTCTTCCATCAACAACGGCCCAATCGTCTGAGCCACCAACACCTCACGTGCTGTAAATTACTCTATGTAAACTTTCTCTGAAAGTTGAACTCGAGTTTCTCTAATTTGAAAGTTCAAGTTTCAACCAAAACTTAAGTTTCTAACTATGGCTTGCAAACACAGATTAATCGAAATTTAGGGGTTCAAGCCAATCTAAACTTGAAGGCAAATGTCAAATACAGTTAGGAGCTTTCCCTAAACCCAGCTTTGAAACAGACATTAAAACTCTTTAGTTGAACTTTTATGGTGCGTATGATTCGTGGATTCTTAGATTTCATAAAGAAAATAAATTGGGAGAAAAGTGATATTAAAAGAAAATATGTGATTCTTGAGTTTTTATTAACTTAAGGAATGTAAAATTTTTGTGTTTAGTTTATAAGAATATAAGACTATCTAACAAAGTTTTTTATTATATTCTACTTGATAATATGTGAATAACATGAGATATTTATAATATTGATATGTAAATAACACGTTATTATTCCTAAGTAAAACAACACATATATTGACTTTCGCAATAAGATCGATGTGAGGGTTGGAAGTGGGTGGTAAATCCCTTCTTTAGGGTTTCCAGAAATGGAGTCCGAGATAAATTTTATGTGCAATAATATTAAGTAAATATATTTAGATTTATATATAATAATATTAAATAAAAATATTTTATGTTTTATTTTTTCATATTTTCAACAAAAAATATGTTTTTTATTTTAAAATTTTCATCTTTATTTAATTCTAATATATATATCTTCATATTTTCAATAAAAATTGTGTTTTTTTATTTTAAAAACGTCGTTTTTATTAAACGCTGAAAAATATATTTTTTCATATTTTCAACAAATACTACGTTTTCTATTTTAGAAACATCATCTTAATTGAATTTTGAAAAATATATATTTTTATATTTTCAACAAAAACTATATTTTTATTTTAAAAACGTTGTATTTTCAATAAAGATTGCATTTTTTATCTTAGGAATTAATCTTTATTGAATTCTAAAAAATTTATTTTTTCATGTTTTTAACAAAGATTATATTTTTATCTTAGAAACATTATCTTTTCAACAAAGACTGCGTTTTTTATATTAGAAATATTGTCTTTATTGAATTTTGAAAAATATATTGTTTTCATATTTTTAACAAAAATTATGTTTTTATCTAAAAAACATCGTCTTTTCAACAAAGATTGTATTTTCTATTTTAAAAATGTCGTCTTAAATGAATTTTGAAAAATATTTTTTTCATGTTTTCAATAATCTATATTTTTATCTTACAAATATCATCTTTTCTACAAAAACTGAGTTTTCTCTTAGATACGTAACCTTTATTGAATTTTGAAAAATATATTTTTTCATGTTCTCAACAAAGATTGTATTTTTTTCTTAGAAAATATTTTCTTACAAAGATTGCGGTTTCTATCTTAGAAATGTCGTCTTTGTTGAATTCTAGAAAATACTTTTTTCATGTCTTCAATAAAAACTACGTTTTTTATTTTAGAAACATCATTTTTATTAAACTTTGAAAATAATTTTTTTTAATATTTTCAACAAAAATTACGTTCTCTATCTTAGAAATATTATTAGTTACAAGTAATCAATTAATATGATTTATTAATGACTACGTTTCTACAACAAGAAACATAGCCATTGATATAGAGAAATATAAACCAAAATTTAGTTTTATCAATTATTATGTTTTTTACATACAAAACATAGTTAAAAGTAAAATAAATATTATATTATACTAACTATATAACAACTATGTTTTTATATAAGAAAACATTATGTTTTATCAATTACTACCTTTTTCATACTAAGAAATGTTGTTGATTTTGAAAATATAAAATTTATTTTATTATTATTTTCTAAGATCAACTACGTTTTATATGTTAAAAATGTAGTGCTTATTATAAAAAAAAAATTTCAAAATCCTAATTTTGAAACAATTTGCTATGTTTTTCTTCTAAAAGTGTTGTTTTTATTATAATTAATTTTTTCATAACATATTACTACATTTCGACATAACAACATTGTGTAAATGAAATTTTTTTATTGAAAATTTTATTTTATGCAAGAGCAACTACGTTTATAATTCAAAAACATTATCTTTTTGAATCTTTACCAATTGAAAACAAATATTTAAATTTATAAAAATTCAAATATACATGATCATTGTTTGGCGTCCAATTGTGTGGTTAGTAATCCAGCTTTGTGTGTCAAAATAGATCTTTATTTATCATGCAATTACCTTAATTTTCAAGGGTAAAATTGATTGTAAAAAAATTATTTTCAAAGTAAAAAATAGGACAAATTTTACAATCCTCCAAGAATCTTAAAAACCGAAGAGAGATATGGGTTTTTTATTTAGGGCTATCAGTATTTTGTTTAACACTGTTAGGAATTTTAAAAAAAAGAAAAAATTAGATTCAGTGAACCAAATTAAGGAATTAAATTTTGAGAGGTAAAAATCTAACTATTAATCTAACTTTCACTTGAACCAAATGCTTTCTTATTGTTACATGCTGAAATTGAGGTTGGTAGTAGAAAAGGCTTAGACTAGTAATAATTTGGGTCTAGTGGACTGTTCAAGTGTTTAGCATGTTCAGTCCAATAAAAAATAGAGTTTGTTAAGCTTGTTAAATGTTAGTTAAGTTGTTAGTACAGGTTAATTGTAAGATTAGTTGTTCCTGTTGATGTCAAGAGTCTATTAGGGGGTATTTCAATTATTGAAAGAAGGTTTATAAGGGTCATGCAATTAATATAATAGTAATACAGATCTTGGATTCCTCTTTCTCTACTTTTCTCTTTTTATCTTTTTTTTTTTTTTCTATTCTTCCATTTTTTAGCTATCTGTATATAGCGAAAGCTATTTCCTCCTTCTTGCCCTTAGTAGCTTGTATCATTGGTATCATGGCTTAAGATTCTGATATGATTAATGATAAAATGATTCAATTGGAGAGGGATATCATTTTGTTACGAAAGAATGTTGAAAACTTGGAGGTGAAATTGGATAACACTATTATTTAGCTGAGACATGAGGTGGTTGCTCAGTTTGATAAATTTTGATATGAGATAAATAAATGTTTAAACAGATAATGTCTAGATTAGATGGTTCATCGAAGGTGGTGGAGAGTGTTAAGCAAAAAGCCTCTAATCAATCAAACCAACGAAAAAAAATGAAATAATTAATCAAACAATAAGAGACAACAATGTAACATGGTTTGGTCTAATCGATCTATATCCATGAATGATAAACATGATCCACTAGTTGTAGGAAATTACAAACATATAAATTATATCAACCTCACTCAATAATCAATACTCATAAAACAATTTTAATCTCTTCTAGTCCTATGAAGTATTTTTTATCCAAACAAACGCATACCTATGCACCCTTTCAATACAAACAAACTCATACCCATATATACCCGTTTATCATACTTATGTAGATCTTTTCAGTCTCCTCTAGTCTACTCACATGCACCATACCTATGTAGACCCTCTTAATCTCCTCTAATTCACTCAAACATACACACATATAAGATGTAAATCTCCAGTAGTCATATGGAGTGTCTATCCCATAAAATCTTACAACTCTCTTACATTTTTTTCTTATACCTAACCTTGCAGAGACTTCACCTATTTATAACTATACAAACTTACCTATTAAGAATCTCTTTCCTCTCAGAATTCTTCTTTTATAAGTCAAACTTGCCTTTTAAGAATTCATTTTCTCTTAAAATTCTTCTTCTGTAAGTTTTTTGTTCATTAAGTAATATTTAATCAATCCTAAACAAATCTTTTATGAGATTTGAGTCACTATTCTCAACAATCTCCATTTTGACTCAAATTCCATCAAATTATCTGTCTTTATGCTAAACATGATTGGTTCACCTATAATGGAAGTCTCACAATCATCTTCTCTTGTGTGTCATCACATTTTATGTAAACTGATTTTCAATCCTCAAAATATGAACTCAAACGCTTCTTTTGAATTAAGCTTTTCTAAACTTGTCTCTTTCTATGATTTGAACCTTTAGCTCTTCGTATGTCTTGAACCTTAAGCTCTAATACCTTTTGTTAGGTAAAAAACCTCTAATCAGTCGAACTAGTGAAAGCAAAATCAAACAATTAATCAAACAATGAAGAGATAATAATTTAACGTGGTTCGATCTAATCGACCTACATCCACGAATTAGAAAAAAGATTCACTAGTTGTAGAGAATTACAAACATACAAATCATATCAACCTCACTCAATAATCAATACTTATAAGATCCTCTCAATCTTCTTTAGTCCTATAAAGTATTCTCTATCCAAACAAATACATACTTGTATACACTTTTTGAACATAAATAAACATACATCCATATGTACCCATTCATCATACTTATGTAGATCCTTTCAGTCTTCTCTAGTCCACTCACATGCACCATACCTATGTAGACCATCTCAATCTCCTCTAGTCTACTCAAACATACACACCCATAAGATATAAATCTCCAATAGTCTTATATGGTGTCTATCTGATAAAATTTTACAACTTTCTTAGATATTTTTCTCATACATAACCCTGCAGAGATTTTACCTATTTATAATCATACAAACTTACCTATTAAGAATCTCTTTCCTTTTAAAATTCTTCTTCTGTAAATCAAACTTACCTTTAAAAAATCTTTTTCTTTTAAAATTCTTCTTTTGTAAGTCTTTTTGTTTATCAAGCAATATCTAAACAATCCCAAACAAATATCTTATGGGATTTGAGTCACTATTCCCAATAATCTCCACTTTGACTCAAATTCCATCAAATCATCTATCTTCAGCTAAACATGCTTGGCTCCACCTGCAATAAAAGTCTCACAATCATTGTTTATGTGTTTTCATGCTTTATGTAAACCAATCCTCAATCCTCAAAACATGAACTCAAACTCTTCTCTTGAATCAAGCTTCTTGAACTTACCTCTTTTTATGGCTTGAACTTTTAGCTCTTCTCATGTCTTAAACCTTTAGCTCTAATACCTCT